AAAGAAAAACATAAAATAAATATAAAGACATAACAATGTTGTCACTAAATGCCCATTTTAAAATAAAGCCATGTCAGACTAAATTTAAGTGCTGGACAAAGATATATAATTCTACAATGAAGTAAGTATTACATGTTTTTCACAATATTCAAGGCAGGCTAGAAACTCAGACAAGGGACAATGGAGGAACAGATCACAAAATTGTGGTCACATACAGAACATGATTATTCATCTGTTAAGAACCAGGTGCTTTGGTTAAGTACTAAATGTGGATGACTTAGTGTAGATTATGCTATATTATGGAGGATAAATGTAAGGAGAAAAGTATTGCATCATTTCATGTAGAAGTAGAATGCATTTTGAAGAGTTAGTATCTCTAAGAAAGTAATGTTATAGTGGTTAATGAGTTTTTATGCTAAACAGACAGAAAATTAATATGATAGTATAAAAATATTGAGGAAAAATATGAAGTAAAATCAATTGTCATAGTAACTTTTATGTTGCTAGGATTATACCCAGGACCAAGGCAACTCATAAAAAAAATTAAATTAGGAAGCTCATAGTTCCTGAGGGTTAGAGTCCATGGCCATCATAGCCAGATGCCTGGCAGCAGGCAAGCAGGTAGGTATGTCACTGGAGCAGTAGCCGAGAGCTTACATCTGATGCCCAAGCATGGAGCAGATAAAGAGCTAACTTGAAATGGTACTGGCTTTTGAAACTTCAAAGACCACTCCAAATGAGATACATCCTCCAACAAGGACATACCTTCACCTTTGAATCCTTCCCACACAGTTCCACCAAATTGGGGCCAAGGATTCAAATATGTGAGACTATGGATGACGTTCTCATTCAAACCACCATATTCCAGACCTTTTTTCCATAGGCTTGTACTATATCAAAATGGAAAATGCAATAAGTCCAATTTGAAAAATCCTCATAGTCTTTCACAGTCTCCACACAGTTTCGAAGTCCAAAGTCTCTTCTGAGGCTCAATGCAATCTCTTAATTGTAGCCCCTTGTCAAATCAAAAACCAAATTACATACTTCCAACAAATAAAGGCAAAGAACATACATCACCATTTCAAAAAGGAAAAAATGGGGGGTATAGTGAAGAACACTGGACCAAAGCAAAAATCAGTATCCAGCAGGGAAAACTCCAAATCCTGGAGCTCCACATCTTAATGTCAGAAGCCTGAGACAGCTCTGCCCTTTCAGTTTTGATGACTGCAGCACACTTGTCTCTCTTGGACTGGTTCCACTCACTCTGCACAGCTCTGCTTGGCAAGGTATCCCACAGTTCTGGCAGCTCAGACATCTTGGGGTCTCCAGCTAAATCTAGGCTTCACTTTCACAGCTTCACACAATGTCCTCTCCAGGCTTCCATGCAGGGACTCCCCTGCCACATTCCTGGTCTCAGTGCCTTTCATAACTGTGGAGGAAGATTCTGTGACCACTTTACTCCTGAATCCCTCTTGACTCAAAGGCCAGAACCATATGGCTGATGCTGCCAAGTTCTGTATTCTGCTTAGAATGGAATTTGACATAAGCTTTAATTTGTTGCTTTCATTTGTTGACTACTTTCCTTTGTTTTTAGGAGAGTCTTTAGTCCTTTTACAAGTTGGAAATTTAGCTGGATAATGTCTTGCCCTGAGAGCAGCACTCCTTTTATTCCTTTGCGCATCAGGACTTTCTTTGTAGACTACTCATCTCTTTGAGCACAAGACTTAGCTCCAACATTAAATTCCCTGGTGATCTTTTTCTCTGCAATTGTACATATTATACTTCTTTTTTCCCTGCTTACTCATTTTCATTGTAGACCTAATATCATTTGCAAGCAAAATTAGTCCCAAACTCTCCAATTTACCCTCAGATAAATACTTAGGACAAGGGTGAAAAGAGGCAACATTCTTTACAAAGTATAAACCAGTAATAGTCTGTAGCACAGTTGCTAACCTTGTTCCCCACTGAAACTTCTTAAGCTGGCCCTCCATAGTCTACAGTGCTTTCAACATGACTTTCGTCCAAGTTCCTACTAGGATGGCCTGTTAAGCCCTACTTACAACACTCAACTACTTCCCTCATCCAGAGATCCATAGTCTTCTGCATTCCTTGAAAAAGCAGCATGGTTAGGCTTGTTATAGCAATAGCACACTCATTGGTATCAATTTCTGCTTTAGTTACATTTCTATTAATGTGATGAGAAACCATGACCAAGGCATTTATAAAGCAAAGCATTTAATTTGGGGGATCACAGTTCTAGAGGGTTAGAGTGCATGCCTACCATGACAGGAAGCATAGCAACAGGCAGGCAGGCAGACAGGCAGGGCACTGGAGAAGTAGTTGAGAACTTACACCTAATCCACAGACATGGGAGTAGTCACTGGGAATGGCCTGGGTTTTTGAAACCTCAAAGACAACCCCTAGTGCCTTTCTTCCTCCAAAAAGCCCTCACCTTCTAATCTTGTCCAAACAGTTCCACCAATTAGGGGTAAGCATTCAAATATACCAGCCTATGGCAGCCATTCTCATTAAAACCACAGCAGTAACAAACAGCATGGGATCTCTTTGTAATAACAACAAACTGCACTCAAGAGTTTTCCTAAGTATGAAGTTTTTGCTACAAGGTGAAAATATCAATATTTACATGAGATAATGTATAGGTTAGCTTGTTCAACTATAACAAGCATTTAACAACATGTATATCAAGCATCATGCTGCACTATTTCAATTTCTGTCCCAAATTTTAGTTTAGAACAGAAATACAGACAGCATTGACCACTGAAGCAAAAGGTTTTGACTGGTGGGGAAACGTAAATGAAAAGAGGTTAGAGTGTTTTGTGTCTTGATTGGGTTCTGAGTCCTGCAGGTACACGAACTTAAGAAACTCTGTCAATTCCTTTCCTTTGATCTACTCATAGTGTGCTATTTTAATTGTACTTCAATTGAAATTATCACATGCTGTAGCTTTAGAATTGAAGTATCATTTTATAGAAAAATGTTACTCAAACAAGCATAATTTAGCTAATAAGTGCTGTGGTTTCTGGAATGGAATGAAGTTGAAGCAGAGTCGATTTCAAGGGAACCTAGTTTAGAGGACCTCATTGGAAAACTGTCATGAGGTATTAGACAGTTAGAGAATGAGGAATCATGCCAAAGACAAGAGAGGAGAGAGAAAAGACTTTACCATGGAATGCTAAGCAAGGCTTTGTGGAAGAACCCAGTGGAGGACAGTCTCCCTCCACCTTCAGGTGTGGGTGGATGTTGATGGATCTCATTAAAAATTTGACCACACTCTTCCAATGCTGAAAAAGGCAGACACAGTGAACTTGAAGGTGAAGACTTCACTGGGTGAACAGAGATTTAACATAGACTTCTCTTGAGAATGCATATTCATTTACTAAGCAATTTATATACAAAAGACTATTGCCATAAATGTTTTAAAGCCTGCAGAAATTAATAAGGATTAGAATTATAAGGTGTATCTTTCTAACCCTTCAAACACAGGGGAAACATTGCTTTTTAAAAGGAAATGTTACAAAACACAACAGTTACATAAATCACCACTGGGTTGAGAGAGATGAGAGAGGTTCTAGACCAGAATATTGCTATCTAGAAGGCAGTTTCTGATTACACCATTTGTTAGGTGTGTGCAGTTTATTTACTGCACTGTACATATATTGGTAAATCTGATTATTGGAAACATCTAGTCTTTAGACTGTTAAGAGCATAATAGACTTGGTGTGGTAATGCATGTCTTTAATCCTAGACTGAGGCAGGTGTATCTGAGTTCCATGCAGGCCAGGGCTACATAGACTTTGTCTCAAAGCAGCAAGAAAACATGCATAATGGACTCATAGGGTAGCTCAGCAGGTAAAGCTGCTTGCACCAAGCTGGTGACCTGAATTTGATCTCTAGGACCCACAAGATAAAAGGAGAAACCTGATTCACAATTTGTCTTTTAGCTTCAATAAAAGTGCAATGGCATGCATGTGCTCACATGCATACACTAATTCATAAATGTAACAGATGCATAACATGGTAAAAAGAGAAGGATAAAACCACCTTTTAAGGGTTGTTTTGTTATTTCATGGGAATGGTTATACTGGGGGAATGGAATTGCTAAACTTGGTGTTGAATAGATACTGTTATCAGGTGGTGGAGGTAGGTAGAGGAAAGATTAGTGCAGAATGAGGCACTGTACATGTTGCTTGATTTCAGTTGTCTAACCATATGGTTAAAATGATAGCTCATGAATATGGTAGAAATGACAAGAAAGGTTCCTCTTAAACATAAAATTGTTGAGTCCTATCTAGACAATGTGAGGTAATTTATGTTGCTAGACTGACTGTGAAAGGGCAGAGGGAGACTCAAGGGATGAGATTTGCAATACTATGTTGAGACTGACATCCTGAAAACCTGTGCTATAGGTGCATCTTCCAACTATTTCATAGGAATACATTTATTAAGCAGGAACACGTCTTCTTCCTCATATGTTAGTATATAGATCTGTATATAACTTAAGAATGCTATACTTGGTGTGGTTTGTTGCTTTTCATTTCCTTGTTAAACTGAGCATTGAGGAAATGCAGAATTTTAATTGTAGCTTCTCCAGTACGTCTATATAAAGGCCCACTGCCATTTTTATCCTCTATGAAATTTTTGTTGCCAAGGAAGAGAGGATTACAATTTTGTCTGACAGATTAAGATGTCATGGTGTATTCTTGGTTATCAAAATACTCATGTAGCATGGGGTTATTGGTGAATATTTACAATGTGGGGGAAGGTGTTGTAAATACTGAATAATCTCAATTGCCTCAATGTATGCACACTTGTAGGATCGAGAAGGACACATCAAGATGAGCTGCTTGTGACTGGGTGACTTTATTCTTGGCTTCTTGTGTTTTGTTTCATAAAATGCACATATTAAAAAAATAAATAAAACCTTCTTTTAAAGCTTAGAAAAACAAAAAAAAAGAAAAGGAAATTGTTGCAAAATATAACATGGATTTAACCACTATCATGCTCAGTGACCAAAGAAATGAAGATTTTCACTGCATTTCCTTGACGCTTCTGCTGAAGGAGGGATTTGTCAATAGTGCTCAACAGTTCTCCAGGACCCCAGAGAGCTTCTAAGGACTCCCATAAAGAGGAGATGATGAAGCCCTGAGTGTGACAGCTCCAGAAATGCTGCAGTCAGTATTTGTATAACAAGTCCAGTATCAATCAACTTCGACAAGATTTACTACTTTCCCAACTGATTTAACTTCAGATCATCAACTAAACAAGGTTATGAAATTGCCACAAACTGATGAGGACAAAGTTGTTTCTCAAAGCTAACTCTGTCTGAACAAAACAGATCTCAGTCACTGTCAGACTCTTTTCATTTCTTTAGATCTTTCTGAAGAACTCTTCTCTTCACATTCTTCCTCCTCAAGAGTATCTTGCATGGCTCTCTGCAGAAGGAGCTTGAGAGTGTTCCTCTGGAACCTACAATGCCTAATAGAGCCAACAAGGAAGTAAATTACAGGATTGGCACAGCTGTTGGCACAGGAGAGAAATAGTGTCACAGAATAAAAATCACAAGGCACAACATAATCAAAATTTTCAATCCATTCTAAGAGAAACTGATAGATCCCATAGGGCAAACCAAAGAACAGAAAGACCAGAACTGTGCACATAATGGTCACAAACAGCCTGGTCACAGGAATCCTGTGAGAGCCACAGAAGATAGTAACCATTAAGGCCAGACTAGACCCCAAGAGAACCACAAATAAAACAATTAACCATGCAGCAGTGATGAAATCAAATGTCTGACACCAATCAGGGCCAAGACCATCAAATAACAAGCCACATCCCTTCCCTTCCAGAAGACTTAACAGCAGGGACAGAAACCAAATCAGGGTACATGTGACAGCTGATGTGTGCCTTGGGCGTCGGCAGCGATACCAGATGGGACACATGACAGACAGACTTCGTTCAATGCTAATGGCACTGAGCATGCTGAGGCCACAAAGATAAGAAAAGTTTGACACAACAAAAGAAAACAGAGGTGTGTCAACGGTCTTGGAGTAGAAGATGTCCAAAATAATATGAATACAATGTACAATTTGAAAGCAGAGGAAAAGGAAGTCAGCCCCAGCCAGGTTGAGGATGTAGACAGAGAAGCCATTCCTGCGCATGTGGAAGCCCAGAAGCCACAACACTATGGCATTTCCAACCAGCCCAACCAGGGCAATGATGAGGGACAGGAAAATCATGGTACAGAACATGATGCCACAAAGTGGAATCCCAGTGTGGTTTCTTCCATTTGGTGCTGTGATGTTAGTGCCCCAGTCTGGGGTATTTAGATCCACTGGTAGGAGGTCTCCACTACTGTTCCTGGAAAGAAAAACAAGATATGAGCACATGTTGTGTTCTCTCTGATTCTTAGGACCACTTTGCTCTGTGTGAATGACTGACCTGGTTCATAAAAAGGAAAAACAGGACTGTAGAGACTGAGTGAAAACCAATTATTTCTGGAGGCTTCATTTAAATCCAGTTTGTATTTATTTGTAGTTGGTGGCCCCAGTAAAGAAACTCAGTGTCTTGGGCTGTGTCAGAAAGAAATAGAACTCTGAACCTAACTTTCTTTCTGTCATTAGGCTGGCTCTTCTCTGGTGCAGGAACTTGGAAGCCAGAAGCAGGACCATCAGCTGCTCTCAGTCTGGCAGGGGAAGGGTATCAAATGGGAAAATGTGGAAATCATAAATGAGAGTCAAGATGGGGATACCAACTTACTAAGACCAGTATGAGAGGAACCAGTTTTATGGGGTAATATGAATGAACCTGTCTGCATGTCAGATTTGAACCTAAAAAGCAGGAAAGCCTTTGAGAACATCAGAAACTTTGCTGTTGTCCACTGCTACATCACAAGTGTCCATCTTCCTATTGAGGCTTGTTGAGTAATTGAGACTTTTCACTGAACAAATGAATGAATTAATCATAAACTAAACAGCAGCTATACTTAGATTGAATGTTTTTGCAAACATTTTATAGCAAGTTAGTACTCCAAAACACATAGAAAAGGAAGAAAATATCATTGCTGAGGGTGCTGTTGGTGGAAAATTTTAGTGTTTGAAAGAATGGCTTATGCTACAAGATGGTTAATAATGACTTTTGTCATTCCCCAACCTAAGAATGTTCAATAAATGACTACAGTGATGGCCTGAAAGAGTTTCATACCAGAATTTGGGCATTGATTTGAGGCTAACTGAACTTCTGACATTCTTGAAGAATAAAAAGGAAAATGTGCAGAAAGAGGGAAAGAAGGGAAGAAGTGACTGCTGTGCTAAGCAGAGGGGTTGTGACCCAGAAGCGTCCACGTGGGAAGACAGAGTATGAAGCAAACTATCGACCAGGCATGATAGCTTACTTGTGGAATACCAGATTCTAGAGGCTGGGCCAGGAAGAGGTCCCTGAGTTCAAGCACAAACTAAACTACATAGTGAGGTCCAGAAAAGCCTGGGCTGACAGAACAAAAAGGAAGAAAGGAACAAAGAAAGAAAGGAAGGGAGAGAGGGAGGAAGGAAGGAGGGAGGGAGGGAG